CATAAAGAGGTTTTGCATTGACTCTTGTGCTTGAGCTTTTTTCAAATGCCATATGAATCATGACTCATTGAATTTCTTCATTGTTTAGGGCGAATTGTTAACCCATTTTGTCATGATGGTTAATATTTTTTCTAAAAATAGCTCTCTATTTTAAAGGATATGCAAGATGGCTTGTGGAACATAAGTAGCAAGTGTGAAGAATCACTGACCAATAAACACTATCAACGTTGTTTGAAAATAAGTTCTCATTACATGCAGTATCTAGTGTGATTATGATATACGATAGAACCCTAATACATCACCATCAAAGATTACTACTTTTGTAAAAGAATCATTCTAACAACCTGGTGGTATAGAGAAAATATGTTCAATTTATTGGTTTTTTATTGGGCTGTAAGAAAAATCAAGAGAGTAAGGGGCTGGAGGGATTAATTGGCATTTTTCAAACCACTCCAAGTTTTCTGATTTTCTATCACAATAATTATAAACCTAGATTTATTGTGATTTGACCCACATGGCCTATTCCACTCTCTAAGGACCACACCCATAGATTCCATTAAATTATTATGGGACAAATGGTTCATACATGGGCATTTCTCATATTGAGCCAACTCACTTCCAACTAGAGAAGTAAAAGAAAATTTCACAAGCCCAATGAATAATTTTTCTATAATATTCTAAAATGACTATTATGACCCTTCCATAATGTGTTTATTAAATGTTAGATATCATCTAACTAGATGAGTTGACGCATGAGTCAACTCCCTTCCTGAAAATGCATAATCAATCTTAAAATTATATGAGACTTTCCTAATGGTTATTGTTCAAGTATCTTGGGATAATTATGATGGTATGAAACTACCATTTTACCCTTTTGACTATTGTCATACTCAAAACTATAAAGACTTCAAAAGCCAACATTATATTGAGTATACACCATGTATCTTCAATTTAGTAGAACTTTTGTTGTTTTCTTTCTCATTAGTCACTCATGGTCTAACTTTTATATGGAGTTATAATTTCCCCTATTATTAAATTTTATGTCTTACTAATGCCTTGATGACACTATTTAAAGATTTCTAATCTCCAAGATAATATTTATGAAGAAATCAGATTAAGATCAGGATTGTGATAAATCAATGGCTATGATAGGGATCTTGAGTGGGAGCCCTAGATCACCTATATATCCCATTGCTCCCTTTGTTTAAGCTCTCCCAAATCCTCATCCATCCTTTTCTTAGTATCTTTTTAATCTCCTTGTCCATGTCCCAGTTGTCATGCTGCTATGTTGTCAAACTATGATGACCACCTTCCTTGCATTTGTCTCCACATATCTACATGCATGACCATTTGTGGTTAAATAAAACCACTTGTACAAACATGTGTGCATGCTACCATCTTTATCAAGTAGCATGTACATGCTGGTGTCTAGCCTGTACATCTACATGTATGATAGAAACCAAATGCATTTGTCCGGGTTAGACCATGTGTACTTGAGCTAATAAGTGAATGGTTTTGCTCTTCGTGTTTTTGACCACATGACCTTTTATTTTGGGTCAAACATAAGTTAACTCAAGTTGGCCTAAGCGATTTAATCATTATGAATTTATTTTGTAGGATTAGAGGCATTTTATTCTCACATTGATGGTATAATAGTTTATCCTTCATGACTTCTCCTACTTTCAGAAACTAGCACACTCATCGCATAGTAATGAACAAATAGCTCCTCAACAAACATGATCCATATTTGTTATTGCATGATTTGACTTGCGTAATACTTTTGATTTCAAAAAATTATTTTTTAATGGCTGATTAGATATGGTATGATTTGAGTCCATAAGATCTTTTACATCCAATCCTACATCACAACGTCAAGGCATAATTATTCTTAAAAAGTCTATGATTAAATAGAGGAAAATAAATTACATCTTTAATAGTGTACCAAATGCATGGTGGACAAAATTCAAATAAATGGCCAATAACGGGTAATAAAATATTTCAAAATTTTCTTAAAAATAGACAATAACACATGAATTATTTTTTCGGGAGATCCAAGGTTAGGAGAATATATGTTGGACGAATCTATTAGTCGTCTCAAATGCAAATTGACTTAGTCCAACAACTAGTTAGCGTCCATTGGGACAAGTTGAACAAGTGAAAATAGATTAATTAAGCATTTTAATATATATATTTATATTTATATAAATTTTATTAGGAATTTAACATTTTCATGTAATATAAATCTTTGGATCATCTCTAGTTTTAGAAATTAGTCCCAAACAGGTCCTTTGCCACCTCTTCTTTATGTGCCCCCTCGCAGCGGCGGGGCACCCGGGAGGCACCGCTCTGAAAGATATTTCGGTCGGTGCACGTGAGGGAATCCTCGAGATTCTACAGCAGACGCTCATGCTGCGCTCGAAAATCGATATCCGTTGACCGAGCCCCCGCCGCGAGATGCACCACCCGAAACGTCGATATACCAGCGGCTTCCAGTGTTAACGGGGGGCGGTGCCGCCAGGATCTGCCGGCGGCGACTAGACGCGCAGGGGGGGGGGGGGGAGGGGGCGCGGATTCTGTCACCACGGCCGCCAGCTCATCCCGATGTTGACCTCACGGGACAACCCAATTGTTGACTTTTCTTCTCTTGTCAAGACCCACATGATTAAGCTTGTTATGGCCTGTATTGGTGCAGAAGGACCAATGTTGGGGACTCAAAACTATTATACATCAAGAAAACGTCAGAGCCGACGTGTGGGAGCCGGCTCAGAACGTCAAACTTCGGTCAGAGCAAAGTGTGCTTAGCCAAGTTTAGGGAGATAGCCGGGCCAGGCTGTTTCTCAACCCTCCCAAGGGCAGTCCACGTGCAGAATAACAATGCTACCCACTAAGTTAGCTGGTTTTGTAGGGTTTTAGATAATCATTTCAATATGATATTATTCTGAAACATTAAGTTTTAAAAATGGAGTTTTTTTGGTGGCTTTTATTCATATTTTATGTTTCTGTTTTGTTCTAGACCTCCGGCGTTGTGCTGGAATTCTGTGTAGAACCATCCCTCGCACCAACTCATGGTAATCCTGTCACGGGTTGGGGGGGGGCTGTCGGGATCAACCGGCGGCCGCCTTGGGTTGCCGGGCATGTATTTCCGCCGTCGGATAACCAAACTGGAGCCATGGATTCCAGTATAAGTGGGCACGTCCAGGGGTTCATAGTCCCTCTGCATTAGCTACCCATCGCCGCCACTGAATCCGACCTTCGCCCTTCCATTCGATGGCGGATACGACCCCCCTCCTTCCTTCCTACACTCCCAATCCCTCAGACTTCCCTGGGGAGACGAACAAGAAAAGCTCCTGTACCAGCGTCGACGACGTTATCGAGCGCTGCCTGGGCAGGATCGGCGCCGCCCAGCTCTTCCAGGCCTTCTTCGTCTCCTTCGCTTGGGTATTCGACGCCCAGCAAACCTTCATCAACGTCTTCACCGACGCGCCGCCGCCGTGGCATTGCACTGGCGGCGCCAATTGCTCCTCCCTCCCCTCTCCCTGCGGCCTTCCCGCTGGCGCGAGCTGGGCATGGGACCGGCCTCCGCACACGTCGATCATCTCCGAGTGGTCACTACAGTGCGCCAGCTCCGCCGTAACGGGCCTCCCTGCGTCGTCCTACTTCATGGGTTGCCTCCTCGGTGGGCTCGTTCTCGCCACTCTCGCGGACTCCACCCTCGGCAGGAAGAACATGCTTTTCCTCTCCTGCCTCGCCATGGCCCTTTCGGGGATTCTCACGGCGGCGTCCCCAAACGTCTGGGTTTACTCTGGGCTGAGATTCGCTGCAGGATTCAGCCGCGCCACCATCGGCACAAGCGCCCTCGTCTTGTCGACGGAGCTGGTCGGGAAGAGCTCCCGCGGGGAGGTGGGCATCATCGGGTTCTTCTGCTTCACTCTCGGCTTCCTCTCCCTCCCCGTCACGGCCTACCTGAACAGGAACTCTTCCTGGAGAGCGCTCTATCTGTGGACCTCGGGTCCGGCTCTTCTCTACTCCATCCTCGTCTACTTCCTGGTTCGCGAGTCGCCCAGGTGGCTGCTCGTGCGGGGCCGGAAGGAGGAAGCCATCAAGACCATCAGGGACATCGCCGCCCCCAACCGCAGTGACGTTCTGGCCTACAGCTTCTCGGGTTTCAACATCGGGGGAGAGGAATGGGCGAGCAACACCGACGTCTACTCCGCGCTGAGGCTGCTGCTGAGGAAGAGGTGGGCGCTGCAGCGCCTGGCCGCGGTGATGGCGGCGGGTTTCGGCATCGGCATGGTGTACTACGGCATGCCGCTGGCGCTGGGGGCGCTGGGCCGCAGCCTCTACTTCAGCGTGTCCTTGAACGCGCTCTCAGAGCTGCCCTCGTCGCTCATCACCTTCTTCCTCGTCGGGAGGATCAACAGGCGAAGCTCCGTGCTGGGCTTCACGCTGGCCAGCGGCGCCTGCAGCGTGGCCTGCGTCTTCCTCCGCGGGGGCGTGAAGATGGGGGTGGAGGTGGTGTCCTTCTTCTGCGCCTGCACAGCGTTCAACGTGGTGCTCATCTACGGACTGGAGTTGTTCCCGACGTGCGTAAGGAACTCGGCGCTCTCGATGGTGCGGCAGGCGCTGGTGCTCGGCGGCGTCTTCGCGCCGCAGCTGGTGGCCGCTGCCCGGGGGAGCGGCGCCGGGTTCGCTTCCTTCGGCGTGTTCGGTCTGGTCATATCGTTCTGCGGCCTCTTCGTCGTGTTCCTGCCGGAGACGAGGGGGGGCGGCATCTCCGACACCTTCGAGGAGGAAGAGTACAGGGAGAGAACCCCGGCCGTCGCCGGAGGCGGGGAGAGTGAGGATCCGTTAGTGTGATTTAGAGCGCCTCAAATTTACTTATCGGCTGATTGTTCAACCTCTTGAAGAAGAAAAGGTCGGCCGCCGGTGTCGGAGCCCGTTTCTTCCCCATCATGAAGCCCACTCTCTCACTCGCAGTTCCGTTCCTTCTTGATCTCTGCGGAACAGGTCAACGGCCAGATTTAGTTTAAAATGGGCCAAGTGTACGAGCCGTCTTTCACACACACCCCAGCAGCGTCTCATCCTCCGGCCCCTTTACCGGCAGTAGAACTCTTCTCACCCTGTCCTCTCAAGATTACTTTCCAAAAATTCCCCTTCTTCCAAGAAGCTGCCCTCAAGTGAGGCCCACTCGCCGCCGTCGATCTCTCTCTCTCTCTCTCCATCCATCCATCCCTCCTCTCCATCACCATGTAGCTGTCCGTCCCCGAGATCCTCCAGCGTCTCGGTCCTCAGTCTCCATCCAGCCCCCATCCCCCGTAGGGGACGCTTTCCTCCTTTAAAACGGATACATTCTCTTGGACAAGCTTCAAAGGAAGGAGGCACTTGGCTCAATGGAGGGATCTCGTTTCGTCGCTGATGATCATCATACATGGGTTCACACAAAATTCAGATCCAAGCTTGAAGACGAAGCTTTTCTTAGCGTGATGTTGGGAAACTCTCGGGAATAACTGGGTATATCAATCAGAACAAGTTGGTGGGCTACACACGCATGCCTTGAAATATGGGTATCAAGAAGAAGAGCTCATTGATATGAATAATGTTAGGCTCAATTGGTCAACGCATCGGGAGAAGTCTGCCCAGACTTGTTCTCTTTTTCTTGTTTTTATTTATTTTAGGGATTAATTTTAGTTAAGAAACCAATTCGGCCCCGTTGTATAAGGCATTCCAAGGGGAAGGGGTTGGTAGAGATAATAAAAAATAAGACGGAGAACTGCGGCGGACATTGGGGATCTGTCATCTCCCCTCTTTGCAGCTTAGTTGTGAGTTTTTTATTCTCCTTTTTATCTCTGCTGCATCTTGTTTCCTCACTCACAGTGGAGCTCTTCATTTCTTTTTAATGGATGCGAGAAGGTGTGCGTTAGACTGTTCATTATAAAATCAAATATGTGTCTCACTCTTCTCCCTTCCTTCTTTTTCTTGAATATTTATTGCTTTCTGGATCGTACAGCTTGTGCTTGTTCTTCTCATTGTATACCAGCGCACAGATTTCAGGTAATGTCGAAAAATAAGTGCATTTCTACATGAACTAATGCAGCCTGAATGTTTTTAACTCATTCATTGAACCCCATGAATGAATTTTACTAGACATAAACTCTTAACTTTGCACTAGGCTGTGTTGTTTCCCACATTATTTTAATATCGAGAATTGTGAGTTTTAACAATCTTTTTTTAAAAAATATCAATTTTACACGATACGTGAAGGTGAAGTACAGAGCTTTTATGTAAAATAGGTTATTATGTTCGTACATTTAAGTCAAAATTGAAACATCAGCCGCCAATGATTAAGTCTTCAAACCTATTGAAGAAAATGATGTAGGGGATATCAGAAAGAAGTCAAAGACATTAGGTTTGATAACATTTTACTCATGGCTCATTGAAAGGTACTCAGATGAAACTGAAATATATTTAATATATTAGATTTGTAACTATATAGCTTTTTAAAAGACACTATGAAACATGATGTAAAGGACTATAATAAGTAACACATTATAGTAAGGCAAAGGTTTCTTTTTCCTTCTTTATGACTAAATTTTCATAATATATTCAAGGTTGAAGTTCTAAATCCTTTGATGCACAAATATTCTACTCTAATGTGCTGGCTTCGGAGAAAATAAATGGAAGAGTAAATTGGTAACTATATTACTAGATGATCTAGATCATATTAGCTGAGAAGAGCATCCCGATTGAAGAAAACAAACTCAATGATAAATGATTCTATTATATTATAAGTTAAGTTAAATATCAACGTGACCTTGAACATCCCTTAATATGATTTCTAGAACTGATTACATACCTTAAAGTAAGTTTTTTTGCATGACTTGATACATTTTAAAGACTCTACACACATGATTTATTTCTACACTACATGACTTGAACAATCACGACCATACTTCTGGGTCCGTGGAAGAAGGGCACACTCTTCGTTGGCCTTCAGAGAAAACCTTGATTTATTGTCCTGTGTCAAATATAGGTCAGGCCAACGATCCAATGGTTGTTGGTAAGGGAAATGTCGAATACGCCGTGTTCCGGAATGACCAGAGGAGGCTGGATGTAGAATGTCTCCATCTCTATTTTTCGACTATCCCTCGTTTCTCTTTCTTTCTCGCTCTCTCTCTCCCAAGGTCCCAAGTGGGCCGTGTCCTAAGAGACTCTCTCTCTCTCTCTCTCTCTCTCGCTTTCTCTCTCTAACGTAAAATAATCCGTCTACATTTGCAGCGTAAAATAATCGTGCTGGAGTGGGCGATATCCAGTTTCATCACGAGCGGGATTCCGTCGACTTTCTGAATGCAATCACCGCGCCGTGCCGCGAATCCAAAGTCCGGCACGCTGCCCTTCCTCTCTTCTCGGGAGGTCTCTCCATTGTTCTCACGGCAGAGAAGGTGAGAAAGACGACCGTAAACCTCCCGCGCTGCCCAAGGAGATTTGGCCCTTCTGGTCAATCAAGTCCTAATCTTTGCTAGTGACGCCTGGCCTGGTCGCCGATCCAGGAATGCATGGTACGACCGTGACCCAGTACGCACGTTCATCATTAGTCAACTCAAATCTGTGAGTCGGCGGTGCGGATCAGTGGTTTGCGGCGCCATCTTCACAGAAGAAATTAAGAATTCGGCGGTTCAATGGATTTATGCGGAAGAAAGTAGGGCCGATCGATCTCCTCGTCCCTTCCGTTATTTATAATTTCTGAGAAAAAGAAATCCCTCCTGAAAGCTACGGCATCTACCTGACTTCACGTCTATTAGAAATATCTTCTTTGAAAGAACTGAGGGTTGCGTAGTTTACCGGCATGCTTTGATTCTAACTATCGTAAGATTCTAAAAAGAAAGTTCATATAAGAAGCTACGCGCATACTGCAAACGTTTGGGCAGTATACACCCATCCATTAAATGACTCGTTCATTGATTCGATTAATTATTCTTTCGAATTATAACTTATTTGTTTTCGAAAGAGACATTCAATCGATGTGACATACTTAACAATGGGTAATTAGGAGAATTGGCATGGTATGCGTTTTCACAGCGGCTGCATCGAGAGGGTCGTCGATTCGTGTCAAATAGGTAATTAGGAGCTTTCTTGCTATGATGCTATAAGAGCTTCTGTAAGTTTGCTTGTGATAGAAAATATTTACGCCTAGTAGTAGTAGTAGTAGTAGTGGTGGTAGTAGTAGTAGTATCAGAGGGAAGATCTTGACGATGGGTGAATGACAGAGATTGCTGAAGCGTATACGCCGGCATGTCTGAAGCTATCCAGTAGTTGGGCGGCCATGGCTGCTATCTCGGAAGCAGGGCCAGCAGCTCCATCTACAATGTCTACAAAAGTTCCGGCGCATTCTACCTCTCGCTCCATCTACAATGTCTAGAATGTGTATTTTGTTCGGAAAAAAAAAAGAAGAAAAAAAAAGAACCCATTGTTCATCAGCTCCGTCTGCCACTCCCGGAGAGTTTTTACCAGCGAAAAACTCATAAAGTTTGCTAGTCCCGAATCAGGTTGCTACACTCCGCCAACAGGAATACTTCACAGGCTAGGCCAGCGATTTCCTTAGTGGTTTTGCAAGAAAAAAAAAAAAAAACAAGAAAACTCGTGAACAGGAGTACGAGTCACGGTCTCCGCTTTCCGGAATGGGAGGAGTTTTCTTTTCTGCTAAGGCTATGACCCCGGATGAATTAATCAATGATCTTTCTTCCTCACTTACTCGAGGAGATTTTCAATGCGCGGCGACGTCCGATAAATCGCGTACGTCGTCAAGGTGCGTCAATGGCGGCGAGGATTGGGAGAGGTTCATTAGATCGGGAAAAAGAGAAGGAATAGCCGTCGCCGATCCTCTGTGGGTGTTTCACCGGCGAAAGGCTCCTCCCACTTATTCATGCGGTAGGAGCTCAAAGCTACAGCTTATTCAGAGAGAGAGAAAGAGAGACGTTCAGCAGGAGGGGAAGGGAAAGCCGCAGACGGCGGCGACCTTGTGGCCGTTGGGGGAGTGGACCAGGTTCCAGATCTTGGGATCATTCCTCATGTACCCGCAGAGGCAGGGCTGCTGCAGCCTCAACTGGGCGCAGCACTCGCTGGAGGGGCTCCCCGTCTCCAGGGCGCCGTCGCATGGGGCCAGCCCCGCCTCCACGCACGGCGGGGCCGCCACCGCCGGCTCCGCCAGCAGAAGCAGCAGCGCTGCAAGCGCGATGGCGAAAGCCGCTAGGTAGGGACTCCTCATGGCGGTGGACGGCATGGTATACACCCAGTGCCCGATGGAGTGATGGCGATGGAAGGGAGGCCTCTCTCCCCCACTCTATTTGTAGTCTCTCTCTTACACTCTCTCCCTTGATTTCTCTCTCTTCCTATGGGATATTGCTTCTTTGCCACAGGGAAGAAGGACGTTGCCGCGTGGTGAGAGCAGTCAGCCTGTGATATCCGAAGGGATCATGTTCACCGTGCATGCCGTTGATCATGTCATGTGACCATTGGGCCGGTATTTGTACTCTCTCTCTCTCTCTCTCTCTCTCTCTCTCTCTCTCTCTCTTACTTTATCTCCCTTCCTTTGGGATAACTGATTCTTTGCCACAGGGGAATAGGCGCGTTGCCGCGTGGAGAGACAAGTCAGCGTTTGATATCCGAAGGGATCACGTTCACCATGCATGCGTTGACCGTGTCATGTGACCGTTATGAGCGGATCCTAAAGGGATTATTGGCGCTTTAAACAGGGAAAAAACTCCCGTGCCCGCGCGTCCGTCGGGTTCACCACTTCTTTTTGAGGCCCAATTGAGAGAATGTGGGCCTAACCCATCAATTGACCGTCGATAGTTGTGCGCCAATGATGGCCGACCACGTGGCTCACTTCTCCGGCACCAGTCGGGGCGGTGGGCCCAAGGATTGTTGACTGCACTCACACGGGGCTGTGGGATAAATGGGGCCGAATAGTTCCCGATATACTTGGACAATGTTGTCTCCAGCCCTGAAAATCTACTCACTGACAGGTATACCCACGGTGATGTCGAGGCCTAACCACGATGGGTCCCATTCTTTACTTTCGTGGCCATCTCGTACGTCAACGCGCCGAGAGAATGATATCTCGGAGTCAACAATTTCCTTCAGAACCGAACCCCATCTGAAGGAGGGGGTCAACGAGAAAAACGCGCCGCGATCAGAGTACGAGAAAGAGAGAGAGAGAGGAAAGAGAAAGAGAGACTTGGGTCTGTCCTCTCGGTCATGGGAAGTCCTTCCCCGGTCAAAGGGAAGAGAGTAAGCCGAAGCCGACCCGCCAAGAACACCAAGAACACCAAGAAGACCGTGGAACAGAGATCAAGAACCAGTCGCGGGTGACGAGGACGAGGGCGAGGACGAGGATCAAATAACCAACGTCCGGCTTTTCCTCCTACTTCTCCCTCTCCCTCTTCGTCTTCTTTAATTTCTTCTTCTTCTTCTTCTTCTTCTTCTTCTTCCTCAGGAGAGCTACAGCGGCCGAAGGTGCTCTCCTCGGAGGGCGGAAAGCAAGCGCCCACCGGTTGTTCCCGGCGAAGAAGCCGGCGTCTGAGTTGGAATCCCAGTCGCTGGGCGTTTCCCAGTCCGTCTGAACAAACGCATTCACCGTCTCCTTCTTCTTTCTGAATCTGCACTCCGATTCCGACTCCTCGTCGTCGGCGTTCTTAGCGGGGAAGGAGGGGATCGGCGACCTTGACTGCTCTTTGCCCCACTTTGCAGCTCCTCCTCCCTTCTCCTCCGGCGGCGGCGGAAGCTGCTCTATTACGCCCATCGGCGCCTCTGAGGTTTGCTCTTCTTGCGAACCATCTTCTTCTTCTTCTTCTTAGAGGAGGACGACGTAAAAAGAAGAAGAGATTACGAAAGGTAGATATCCCGGAGAGCCTCTCTCTCTCTCTCTCTCTCTCTCTCTCTATCTCTCTCTATCTATCTATCTATCTGTTCGTAGATCAGGAAAGCTGGTTGTACGTGGCGATAAATATGTGGAGGTAAGCGTAATTCTTTCATGGGGAGCCGAGGATATTTAACCGTTTATTTTAATTCTATGAATTATGGCGTCATAACTGTTGGGGCGGGGGCTTTGACCTCGAGCAGCCGCCCCGAGAGGTAAGGAGAGAGGAAGGACAGGAGTTGTGGTCCCACCCTCCGCAAGAAGATACTACTACTCGGGTTCGATCTGGGGCCCACCTCACTCCCAAGAGGCGCTCCAAGTCTTGTCGGATTTTAGTAGTGGGCTCCGTTTCCCTGGCCGGTAACGGAGTGATCGGTATGAGTCGACCGTTGGACCCGATAATGGACGGTCGCTGACTTTCCGAGCCGGACGGACCGGGTCCTTCCGGTGGGCCCACCTGCTGACCTGGCGGCATTCCAGTCCGGCCCGACGACCGTCGTCCCCTGGGGCGGTGACCTGAAATCCTTCTGTTGGGAATCCCGTCGCCGCACTTCCTTGAGCGGTCCCCACAACGTTCGGTGACGTGGCATATTTACTTTCCACGTGGCTATCATCCGGCAGCGAGAGCTCCTCGCGCGATTCTCGTGTGCAAGGAGGACACGCTTCCATCGGACGGCAGAACGATAGACACGTAGCCATTGGTTCTTTAACATACGACGGCGCCATCACCGTCCAAGTAAATTGGTTGACCCTAAGAGTCAACTGTGGAGAAGCCCAGCCCCATAAGCTAACACAGATTTTTCTTTTTTAATTTTCTCGTGCAAATATTGTTGGAAATATTAATCCTGTGAGAAATTACGATCAAGCTACAGAATAACTGAGTCGGACATTCGAGTCAATCTGAGGTGGGCTCCTTTGTATATTAGGGTTTCCTGTTTTCTGAGTTTCGGATGAGAGACTTCTGCCACGTGGACACCCCCTCTCCTCTCTCTCTCTCTTTGTCTACGATCCGCTCGCTTTCCCCGCTCTGGAAGCTCTCTCTCTCTCTCTCTCGCTCTCTCTCTTCTCCTCCTCTTTTCTCTCTCTTCTGTATGACGCCTGAATTAACAAACTATTGCCGTTCTGCAATATAAAAACCTTTAATGGAGGGCAGTCACGCGCTCGTCTCCCTCCCGGGCCCTGCCGCCAAAGCCCCCCCCCCCCCGTCCCCTCGAGAGCCCCAAATAACTCCCCCCCCCCGCCTCCCTTTCTCTCTCTGTCTCTCTCTATCATCGCAGGCGCCGGCGGGGTCCTACGTCCTCCTTTTCTGCTCCCGCCGCCCCCATAGGTTCACGGCGGCGCTCCCCCAGATCCCACGAGATGGGGTTCCCCAGGGACGCCCCGACGGCCGTGGAGGTCGTGACGGCCGCAGCAGGAGCCGCCGCCGTCGCCGCCGCCGCCGCTGCCGCCTCTTCGTCTTCTCCCTCGCCGCCGACGAGTCGCCCTCTGCTACTACGGGGGAAGCAGCCCCGCTCCCGCCACCAGATCCCGCCTCTCAGGGCGTCGTGGGCCAACCAACGCCTCCTCCGCTGCGGCGACGGTTCCGTGGCAGTGCCGGCGTCGTCCCCGGCGGCGGCGCCGCCCTCGAGAAAGGAGCCGGAGGAGGCCGCCAACGACGGATTTGAGCGGATCAGGGCGAAGCTGATGGACCACCTCCGGGAGGCGGTGGGGCGTATCGAGCTGCCGACGGTTCCAGGGGAGGCGAGATGGAAGCCGCCGCCACCGCCGGCGGCAGCCGGAGAAGCGCAGGACGGCGGCAACGGCGAACAGGATACACATCGCGGCGACTTCACCTCCGCTCCCGCTGCCGTTGACGATCCGGGGTCTGCTGCCGCTGCGCCACCGCCCAGCGGCGGTGAGGATCTTCCCTGGAAGCTGCGGAGGAGGAAGCCCGCGGCGGCCTGCAACCCGCGCCAGCACCATCAGAATCCACAGCCGGCTCCCAGCTCCTTCACTTCGTCACCGGCGCCATCGCCGCCGGCGAAAGTGACTTCCCGGCTCAGGTCAGGGGCGCCGGAGAGGAGGGAGGCCGGCCTGCGCCGGCGGTGGCCGAAGTTCTCCGTGTCCCTAACGAAGGAGGAGATTGACGAGGATCTCTACGCCTTCACCGGCCGCAGGGCTTCCCGTCGTCCTAAGAAGCGTCCCCGTGCCGTCCAGAAGCAGCTAGACGTACGCACGAACCCTAGCGTTCTTCTACCTCCAGAGAGAGATCATCTTCATTTTCTGGTCTATCCTCCTCCTCCTCATGCTCCTCTCCATGGCTTCTGATCTCTCCATCTCTTCTCCGCAGACTCTGTTCCCAGGGCTGTGGCTGTCGGAGGTGACGCTGGATGCCTACCTGGTCGCCGATCCGCCGCCCGTTCCTTCCTGATCCGTCGCAGGCGAAGGCGAAGACGATCGTCCCCCTCACAGCGGGAAAGAACCGAGGCATCTCCGCAGCAGATTTCCGGGAGCCGAAACCTAATGTCCTCCCTGCTTCCATCACTGGCAAGGTTAGTAGTAATTACTCTTGTCGCTGGGGGAGAAGAGAGAGAAACGAGAGGAGACCTCCGTTGCTCTGTTGCCGGCGACGAACCTCGCCGAGAACATCTCCATTCCCATGAACGGCGCCTCTGTTCTTCTGCCATCACGCCGGAGAGGAGGAAGGGGGAGAGAGAAGCGGGGAGAGTGGAAGGAGGAAGGAGGGAGGGGCGGCTCCATTGTCGGAGCTGGCCGGGAAAAAATTTCCATTCCTGCAATTTATGAATTTATATCTGTATTTTGTTTTCTTTTCAACATATTATAATTTCTGACCCGATCAATTATCCACAAAATAATCCTCATCTTCTCGCGCCCGATGAAAAGGGCCGGAGAGCTTCGCCCCGGCCCGGCCCGTGTTTGCGGCGTTGGTTGAGGTGGTGCTATCGGGTGTAGATCCCTGCTTCATTACCGGATCCGGTCAGACCCGTCGGGTTCCGTCTTCCTGTCAGCAAAGGCGACTTCTGATGGGACGCCCACCCCACTTGCGCCTCTCTCTCTCTCTCTCTCTCGCTCTCGCTCTCTCTCTCTCTCTCTCTCTATCTATCTCTCTTCTCCGCTCCCAGACGAGAGAGATAGGTAGAGAGAGAGAGAGAGAGAGAGAGAGAGAGAGAGAGGGTAGACGTCGCTTGCAGCGGCTGGTCCAGGAGGGTTGTTGACGACGGTTGTCGTAATAAATTCCTGAAAGGATAATTGCAGTCGAATGAGAGAGAGAGAGAGGCCAATTTATGAAGCCTAAGGTTGGGGAATGTGGGCCGGGCCGATATTTGGCTTATTGGGCCCATTGTGCGCCTTGTTGCAGGGATCGGACGGAGAGGAGGTGAGAGAATGAGGAGAGATATTAAAAGAAGCGGGCCGGCCGATCGGGCTGATTTCGCCGGCCGTGAAGGTCTAGGACCTCTGTCCGGCCCCTTGGTAGGAATGGGCCCGCGTGAATTTTAGTGGGCTTGGGCCGGTAAATGGGCCATACGGCTCGCTCCACGCGGTCTCGGTCTTGCGAACCGTCGTGTTTGAAAACCCTGGTGAGACTAACCGACAGACGTGGCTGGGGAGAAAAGCGGGAGCTGAATCGTCGACGACGGCTCGGAGAGACGGAGAACCCCTTCTCCTCCTCTACCCTTTCCACCTCTCGTCGCTTGATCCTCCTCCTCCTCCTCCTCCTCTTCCCTGAAGGCAGGTACACCGAGACTCTCTCTCTCTCTGTGTTCTCTCATGTCGGTTTGGTGCATCCATGAGAGTGGCGATGAAGCTTCTCCGTGAATTTGGATATCCATTCCTCGATTCCCTGGTGTGGTAGGGGGGGTATGGGGGATTACGGTCCTGACGGCTGCTTTTGTGGATCTAATTAGCCGACTGATTGGTCGTTTTCTTCTCTGCCAGGAGCACTTGGGGTTGTGCTGAGCTCATATAGGCTGATTTTTCCACCTTCAGAGATTTGGTGGATATGTATTAGGGGTAGGGGGGAGGGGAATAGGTGCTGGTGGTGGTATCCGGGAAGATGGAAGGACCATCAGCGCCTGCCGTGAGGCGGGATCCCTACGAGGTATTGAGCGTGTCTAGAGACTCGTCGGATCAGGAGATCAAGTCCGCGTACAGGAAGCTCGCTCTCAAGTAATTATGCTCATCTTCTTTTTTTTGATGCTGTATTTTCGTTGTATTTAATTGCTACCCTACAAATGTAAATGGGAAAATTCGGATATTGAAATTTCTAGTTTCTTGAATGGTACAGAGCGAATCTCCTTGTGTTATCCCTTAGATTATGCCTAGCTTAGTTCTTGATAAGTCTCGGAGGTTATGGGAGATGTTTTCAAACCATTTTGTAATTGCGACTATGATCTGCTTAGAGAAGATACGTAATCCATAAGGATAACATGCCCTATCATTTGTCGAGAATTTGTTAAATTTGTGTTCTTCAGAAGGCCCCGTACTCAAAGCTTCATTGGCAAAGACGAGTAGGATTGGCAATGAGAACACCTCGTCTATCGTAGCCTTCGAAGGATATGAAAAGAGCCACGGCAAATGTCATTGTATAGATGCATATCCATCCACTATTTTGAGCGGTTTGACGAGGGCGCCGAATCTAGTGGAGAAACGAAAAAACTTCATGTTTTTGTAGTCTTACTTTTCTAAAAAAATTCATTTATATGCTTTTGAACCATTGGCATGCTTTCAACTATCTACCGTTCCAGAGATACAGTCTTCGAAAGCAAGTTAAAAATCTCATCACGTATGCTTATTGAGGTAATTTTTTTTAGCCAAAATCTCATGGAATGATTGACTGGAAGTTCACTGGGTATGATGGGGAATCTGCTTTTAGAATCGAATGACTAATGGCTGGAGTCAAAGCACGAGGGAATGAGTTCTTATCAATGGAGATCTATCCATCTCACTGATAGCCACATATGAAGTAAAAAATAATGATGTAACCAAGCATGCTGGATCAATGTAAGAAGGAGTTAAGAAAATGTTCATTTCATTTCGTCATTAGATGGCGGAGCACAGCTCGCCGTGACATGCATGAATGAATAGAATCCTTCAGGTCATTTTAAATATCATGATCCTTAAAATTAGGATTTCCGAAAGAAATTGATGGTCACTGTTTTCGATATTGCCATCAATGTCCATAATGTTATCAATATGCACGCTATGGAGCCTGCTCTCAATATGCACCATTCTCATCTAATCATCTTATAATTTTATCTCGCTCTGACCATTATTCCAATGTAGTTAGGTCCCAAATCGCCAGTGCCATAAATACTGGTTTGATAGAATATATTTCTCAATTACTTGTATTCATGAATTTTCTAGTGAATGATTAGCGTGGAAAGAGTGGTTTTTCTATGATCGTCGTGACAATCAACTTTGATATGCATGGCCTAGAAAACACTTGCCTGAAATACCAGTTTGACGCAATCTGAATGGCGCTGTTAAATTCAATTAAAAAAATAGCCTTAGGGTCTTCAAATGAAAGCTGGCATCAGCAGCTGAAGCAGACCATCCCTAGTATAAACTAATCTGCAAAGGATTGTCCATGGGACTACTATCAAGATTATTTGGACCATATTTCCAATTATCATCCATCTCTTGCCTTTTATACTCCATGGATGAGGTAGCACTAGATCTGGCCATTTCTATAAAAGCTATTGGGCATCAACAGATCTTTGCTCTCTGCCTTGAACTTTGAAAGAATATTTCCAAGTGCATTGTTATCCATTATTTAGTGACTTCGACAACTTCAAATGGCATAATGCTTTATGGCCACTGCTGGAACTTCATTGAAAAATGAGTGATTGTTGAGGCAGTAGTCTAGCTTGAATTGATTGAATGATGTTTTGGAACTTAAATCATCCAAATAAGCTTATGCTGAGAGTCTATCATTAGTCATCAAAAGCTGAATGAGGGATGCAGGTGGTCTAGCCTTTCATTCCACGTCAATTCAACTTATTGTTCGATAATGGATGAGTCAAAAATTGGTTCATTGTTGATGATCAGTCCAAGTAACTGAGAACGATCAGTCCAAGTAAAGATGATCTTATTGTCGATCAATTTAACTGTTCATCTTATTGGGCAACAGACTAGGTGTTCATCTTTGTGTTTCCACCCTCATGTTTGGTAATGAACATAGGTGATCGTTCCAAAGTGCTAAGTAGTCAACTTACCCCTGTCAGGATGTTAGTAGCCCATGAACTGTGATGGGTTAGAGGCTAGCCCATGAACTGTTCATCATGAGGATCACCGTGATGGGGATTCATGCACACAGAAGGTGGATGTTTGCAGACGTGTTATCCTCTTGTATATACATCGTTTTGACACACCCAAAGATCCTATTCTACTTCTCTTATTTAGGCTCTGGATTCTGAGTATAAACATCCACAACAGATTTCTCAGGAAATTATTAATTGCTGCCATGCACTTTTACTTTTGTGCTGTTGCCACAAAATTAGGAATTATTGGGTTTTTTTAATATTTTGCGAATATTTGAAGTGGTTCAATGGCTAAATTGGGTCTTTTGATGAATTTTCTTCATTGCACACCTTTGTAACGAATCACTTCTTCGAATCAGGAAGGTGTTCAATATTTTGAAATTCTTCTCATTTGAATTTCCTAAATTGTTGCCCTCTCCTTTTTTTATGTTATCTTTTACTTTTTACCTTGTGGAAGCCAAGTTTAGATTCACTTGATTAAAAAAAAGGCCAACAACTTAAACTACACACAACCACTAATTTGATTTTTATATCATCGTCAAAGAACGAGGATAAGACTGTTGAAATGATCTTATACTTATTGTTCGCCTGGTTTTGCAACTTTATTACGTAGCTATGTTTGCATGTGCCCACTTTAATTATCTGTATTGTTCTTTTATTTTATATAATTAAACTGAAATTAGATTTATGCATATGAAGTTGCTGATATTTTCTCTTTCGTTGAGAAGGTATCACCCAGACAAAAATGCCAACAACCCTGAAGCTTCAGAGCATTTTAAAGAAGTTGCATATTCATATAGCATCCTGTCAGACCCAGAAAAAAGAAGACAGTATGATACTGCTGGATTTGAGGTGATATTTTTTTTTGAACTAATCAATTTGTCTCTTAAATTTTTAAAAACTTAACATCCAAAATTTATGTACTTCGCAATAGTTTATTGCAGTGTGTCTCTATTGACCAAGATTTTTTTTTTGTTTTTACATGACCAAATGCTTCGATAATGAATGTACTGAATCTGTTATGTGTTGCCTTATTCAAAATGTCATATCGTGGTTTTCTTAATGATTTAAAGCTTATATATGAACGGAATCGGATGTTCTTCTATGAAAGTTTATCCCTTGAATTCATGATACTCACTGGTCTCTGGTGCATATGTAACATGAAATTCACAACACTTGAATCGATAAATACCAGTGTTTTTTGCACAGCCATACATTTCAATATAGTATTTATTGTCTACTTGTTCTTTATCCTTGAGTTCATAGCTAGGCATGTTTGACAGCATGAATTAAAGAATACTAGTCATTTCTTGTTACGTATTACCCATAGACATAACTATCCAATAGACAGTTGTTATCTATTGTTTTAGGTAATTTGATCAACCTGTAGTGTGAATGTCCCCTCCATGTGTAATTATTATGGTTTTCTTATGATAGGTAACCATAACTTGTATTGTCATTCGTAAAATAGGATTTGGTTTGGTGCATATTTAGGATTATACCATTTTTTTTTGCGTGGGAATCTTCTTTGTATCAAAGGATGATTTTTGAGTGGACAATTTTGTTTGCTCATTGATATTACCATCCTTTTTTTTTATGTATTCGAAGATTACTCTGGTGAATTTCATAATTTTCTGTTTTCTTTTCCTGTATGTGTTTTCGTACATGCCTGTTGTAAATTTCAATCTCATCCCATGCTTGACCTTGATTTTCCTAGGCGTTAGAGAACGAAGGTGGGGACATGGAGATTGATTTATCGAATCTTGGAACTGTTAATACGATGTTTGCTGCGCTCTTCAGGTACCATTGTTGTTCAATGTCAAGAGGCTGTTATGTATGGGTGACAACTGCTTTTTTAATCTTTATCTTTTGCAGCAAGTTGGGAGTTCCAATCAAGACAACAGTTTCAGCGACTGTTCTTGAAGAAGCGCTTAATGGAACTGTCACAGTTAGGCCTCTTCCTCTTGGGACATCAGTAAGCGGAAAGGTATGTGTTCTCTTACTCTTATGTGAGTTGTAAAAAATACCATTTTAAGCTCATCTTCCTTACCTTTGTCTGTCTGGTGTAGGTTGAGAAACAAAGTGCCCATTTCTTTGGTGTCACAATTAATGACGAGCAAGCCCAGTCAGGCGTAGTAATTAGAGTCACTTCTGCTGCACAAAGCAAATTTAAAGTATGAACATCTTCTGCAACCCGACTCTTAAGCATGACAATCACCACACGAATTATGGTTATCAAAATAATAAGTTTTTTCCATAGCATTTGATGTATAAAATGGTCGACCATATTTAATAACTAGTTCTTATCTTTTTTATTTCAACTTTAGCTTCTCTACTTTGAGCAAGAGGCAAATGGAGGTTATGGGTTGGCATTACAGGTAACAGACTGCATTTCTAATTTTTAGCTTGCCCTCGTAGGTCCTATTTACTCTTAGTTAAAGTGAGGGGGAGGCAGAGAACTGGGTTTTCAATATTTCAGTAAGTTGCAAAACTAAAAAGTAACAATGCCTAAGTAAAATACAAATTTAGAGCAGAAGTAAACCGTGTATATTCCTTTTATTGTTCTGGACTCTATTCCTACATCTACTTCTGTTCTAATCTCTGAAGTTTGGAGTTGCTGGCTAGACAACATTAGCTTGAACAGATCTCTACACAATTGGGATGTTTCTTTTGATGAAAAGATGGATGAGATCCTCCGTAGATAAAATCGATTGTCTACATTAGGTTTCCCTCTTTTATGACAGAAGAGCACATATATAAATTGGAGGTATGGAGAGAAAAGAGTGTAGATCACTTCACAAGCTAATATGGAGATTTTCCCATGCTTTGACTAGCCATTGGGTTAACCTCTCCAACCTGCAATTTCAGAATGACCATATTTGCAGTTTTTTCTGGCGGCTTTTTTGTTTTTGGTCAACAATGTTGTTGATGCCTGAATTTTAGGCTGGTCGATCCTGTTAATGGGACATTGACTGGTTCCAAAACATGTAACTCAATAGAGCTCGTCAAACACATTGTGAACAATGGAATCTCTCACAAAGAAAGCCTAAGAAAGGATACCAAAGCTGTTGACGTTTACTATAGGTAGATAAAGTGAAAGGGCTATGCGAAAGTTGGCCAGGCAAACCTTAACAGAGCTGAGATAGGCCAACATCTACAGCAGGTTGACCTGTAGAACCTGAATGGTGGACCTCGTTAAGAAAGGGTGTCAACCCAGACAGGTTGACTGACTCACAGTCTCCGTACAATTTCTATATTCATGCTGTTCTCATGTTTGCTTGTTCCCATTTAAATATAATTTCACCGGTTTGTGACAAATGCGCATGGAACTTTTGTGGTGGTTGTAATTACATATATTTTGTTGGTTAGCAATTTTATAAGTAAGTTTTGGACCTCAGGGTCTTATAGTGAAGAAGGACCGGACAAATTCATAAAATCCTGCTGGTGGATTATCAAGAAACATTTGGTTTGGAGGTCATTGTTAAAGTTTTTGTCACATGAACCCTTGGACTCGATGGCCAATTGGGTACACTTAGTTTGGTGCATGAATGTGAGCCAGTTTGGAATTGATATCGAGGGTTTGATCATTTAGGAATCGAAGTTACAACTTCCCATAGGTTTCCTCCCGTCTCCTCCATCCAGTTTCCTTATATTTTGCCCTCTTTGCAGTATACTTTGAAGAATAACATTATCCCAACTAGAGCTAACTTTGGTCTAATTTATAAGATGATGAAACCATCACTTCCTCTTTCTTTTGGTCTCAATGCATGACCCACACCTACTCTTAGTCCACTATCGTTTCCTTTCTTATCTAAATTATGGAGCTTGAGTTCTTGTTGTTGCTCGTTAACTTATCCTATTTTGCAGCCACTTTGTGAACTTTTGATTAGTCTTAATGGTAGACTTGATGGAAGCTCTTAGAATCAATGAGCGAGGGGATATGGGTTAACTGAGAAGTTAGATCATTGAAATTTGAAAATTTTAATCCAATCTTGCCATTCGGCAAATATGTAGCTAATGTGAATGAGGATGTATGAAAGGAAGTTGAGGCAAGGAAAGATGGCACTGATATTTTGTAGTTTGGCTCTACAAATAAATGTCCACTTTCTGAGATCATTTTAGGTACTACATTAGCGTAATACAACGGCTAGGGTTGATGGTGCTAGTTCACTGAATACAAATGTTTTTTTCACAAACACTCCTCAAATAGTTATTCCTAAACTCTAATATTCTAGTACAGTGTAGTTTATCTAGTACTCAATATTTCCATTCAGGAATTCGTAACTGCATCACAGATCAATAAAATTCAGTGAAGGGCTTGATAATAGCAACGCTAACTACGGGATCGAAGTGAGAGATCTTCTTGGAAACCTTGAAACTCCTTCAGTTTAGAGCAACCTTCATCACGTTACGTAAATGGTATAACTTCATTGAGAATTCAGATCAGAGCATCCTTTCTGTTGGTCTTGGATCTTATACTGTTCTGAATTGCCTTTGCCAATGTCTCCCAAATCTTATGGAGTGGTTGTATTTATGAAGTTCCTCCTCTTCATGCCATTGGAGTTTTTTCAGAGACTGAACAAATGATAAACGGCTGGAAAACGGCTACTGTTTGAAGTTTCTACTGAACATATCCCTTTCAAGGGGTGATCAACCTTTAAACTAGAGGTTGTTTTGAAAGGAACGTATTGTACACCGAGATTTTGTAATCGTTAATAAATTTGAGGTTCGATCATGTATAAATCTCTCCTTTTTGAATGTTGCCCAAACCTTTGGGATTCTCGGGACTCATTTTATCATTCGTGTCCTTAGTCACAGTTCTCTCCTCCCTTCTGTCATCATTCTGAATGAAAGCTCATTCACTATAGAGAATGATCATTATAATGAATTGGAAGCATGCTCTGCAATGTTTCAACTTTTTGGAATGCAAGCTCCATTTATTTTTGTACATTCCCTTGGTAATTACGGATTTTCACAACCGTATTTATTCTTCCTCTCCTTGGAAAACACAAGTATGAGAATGACTGTGAACTAGAGAATGATCATTAATGTTTTGTCATTCCCTGTCATCCATGAATATGTAAAAGAAGATGCGAATGAGGCTGAATCAGCTGATATATAGTCTAAATATGCTATTTTTCATTGAAAATATTTAGTACTTATCTTTTTACTTTGGGGGTTGGAGTTGGGGAATCCAATCCATCTCTAGCTGTTTTATGATTTTGAATTGACGGAGGTCAGTCTGTTATGGAGAGGTCGGTGATTCTCTCAGTTATCGAACTGGTTCTTGCTCAGATCATCTGTTCTTAGCAGTAGTGTTGCTGTCAGAGGAGCAATATGGGTGCACTGCTTGTTATCATTGGAGCACAAAAAAAGAGGAGAGGAGGAAGAAGGAAAGGAAGAAAAATAAAGAAGATTTTTTTTTCACATGGAGTTGCTGCTTATGGCTTCCATCTGCTGCCAGTCGCTGGTAATGGCCTGCGTTGTGGACTTGCCATCGCCCCGAAACTCCATGCTTCACTCAGAACTAAAAGAAATGGGTTGAAATGATGCCCTTCAAACTGCTCTATAATGGTGGAAATTGTCGTTGGGAGAGCATAGTGATGGATACTTTTATTTTAGAGACATGCCTTATGGTACAGGAAGGAACCTTGAAATACATTTCTTTCCTAATAGAAGCCTGCAGTTTTAGAAGCTAGCATCAATTTAGGAGACATTATCCTTTTCCTGATTTATGAATAGTCGTAATGTTTAGGATGGTGTGGAAGTGAACTGTTTTAATTAATGATGACTTAGTTTCATTTCGAATCCAATTACTCGTTTCAACATTTACCATCCTTACTCTATCAGTTTTTGAAAATTAAATTTTTCTGACAGAGTGTTATTGCCTAGATAAGGAAAGGGTTGGGTTTTGGGAGTATTTGGCGGAGCTGACAAGCTGAAATCGTCACCTGATGTGCCACATTAGGGATATGTGAGTCCTCAGAAAGTAAAGGATAATACACTTTGGCCCCGTCCCTGCTAAAATGAAGATTAAACTATATACAACATAGATTAAGGTCATTGGAGGTGTAGTAGAAAAGAAATTTACGTTCAGATGGGAAACTTATGTCCATCTCCAAACCGAACTGGAATTTTCGCTGAAGGGTATTTATGAAATCTAAATGTTTCTGTTTACGTTAAAGCATGCGGTGCTCTTAGTATGTGTACTACTTGTTCTTCACAAAAGTTTTATCTAGAAACTATTTCTGTTGCTGGGTGTGCCATTCTTGATTCTAAAGTATGGTAGATGGAAAAGTTCCTGTACTCTACCTTGAGTTCTGTTGGCAGACTGATGCCTGGTGTCCACTTTTTAAATTGTTTCTCAACAGGAGGATAGTGAAAAGACCGGCAAGGTAACATCTGCGGGAATGTACTTTTTACACTTCCAAGTTTACCGCATGGATTCCACGGTGAATGTGGTAGGTTGTCATTTATTTTTCTCCTATTTCATTGTAGACTTGGATTGTTAGAACTCTTTCGTTGGTCAAACGTTTGGTATATTATTTGCTTCTGTAGTTGGCCATGGCCAAACATCCTGAGGCTGCATTTTTTAAAAGGTTGGATGGTCTACAACCTTGTGAAGTCTCTGAACTAAAGCCTGGGACTCACATTTTTGCTGTGTATGGTATGTTCTACTTATTTCTCCTTTTCAGATTCCTGAAAAAGATAATGTTGGCCCATAAAAAAATTGATTAATTTTCAGGTGACAACTTTTTCAAAACTGCATCCTATACCATCGAAGCTCTTTGTGCAAAATCTTTTGAGGACGTCACTCAGAAACTCCAAGAGATTGAGGCCCAAATACTAGCCAAGAGAAATGATCTACGGCAGTTTGAGATAGAGTACAGAAAAGTAAGATCTACATAACCTTTACACGTTGTTAACTGTGCAACATATTGTGCATGTGATCTGTACAGCGTTTGGAATTTATTCTCTTGATTCCATTATGAAAAATACTTAACGATGAATCTGAGTGAGCTGATTGGGCGTCCATTTTTCGCAGGCAATGGCACATTTTCAAGAAGTTAAGAATAGATATAATGAAGAAAAGCAATCAGTAAGCCTGAACTTGTTTCCATTTTTCGGAAATGTTGTTTTTTACCCATTTTATTAGTTCTTGGTCATCCTTTGTCAGTAGTCGGATCACTTGCTTCCTGCAGAAAACGTCTAATGTTTGGTTAAGTCACCATCGATGTCCTCAGATGGCATAATTATTTTCTTTGTCCTCAAATGTTATCTCATGTGTGATTACTGCCCCATTGTGTTGGGCGCCGATATGGCAGGGCATAAAGTGTGCGCCATTAAAGAAGGAACGTTTTGGGGTGAAATACTCCAAGCTGATGTCTGGACTAGGCAGCACCTAAACCTTGGTAGAGGGAAGGCTCCTGAGTCTTTTAGTTGAAATCATCCACACCCTGCGCAGCATACATGTACATGTGGGAAAGAAATATTACAGTAGCTATTGCGTGGTGCGTGTGATGCATAATCTTAATCATGAGTCGCTTTGTTTTTTCCGTTCATATTTGCTATTGAAGGGGGAAAAAAACAAACTTATTTCAAGCAAAGCATCATACCACGTTTGTTGGATGATATATTATTCTCGCATTACAAATTCATGTAGCGTCACGATTTGCAAATTTTTAGATAATTTGTTTTGACCATATCACATCACGCTCTGAGGGCCTTTAGACGGATATCGACATCAGGTCACATCATTTCCCTGATGGGGATTCCATAATCGATCTATGTCACGCCATGATAATATGTTATTTAGCTGTTTTCTTTTATTTCCCGTTTAGTTTAGTTGTGGAGTGTGTGAACTGCGGCATAGGAAGACATTTGAGATAACTTGCATTTTTGGCAAGTGAGAAGGCATAGTCCGATGAGCCTAATCCTTTCTTTGTTATGCTTCTGTGCGTCATGCCTCTGAGGCTTATTCCCAGGGATGCTAATAGATAAGTGAGATCTTAAAATCCCTATCATGGCACCGATGATGAACTGAGAAGAAGTTTTCTACACTCTTTAAGTTCCATTCTAATCTTTTATTGGGCACATGGATTATATGACGGGGGTATTGATTTTCATGAGATATCTTTCATTAAAAAAAAAAACATATATTGTGATAAAGATCCATGGCCCGCTGTGTGACTGGTTCTCTGGTCTGTAAGTCTATCACAATCCTCCATGCCATCTAAATCTATTAAGTAGAAACCTTCCATTTTACATGATTTTCAGTTATTCATTCACAGTTCTTGCTTTTCCAAAAATCTACGCTGGGCCTTCCGTTTTCATTGATCCATTCTCGTGTAAATATGGCAGCAGACATGGATTTGTATTCCCAGTTTGGGTGCTGGCTGGATGCTGATTTCTGTGATGTGTCTTCCCCGCCCCATGCAGGTGGATGAACTGCTGAAAGAGAGAGACACCATCCACTCATCCTTTACGACGGTCCAGACCCTGGTGAACTGCAGCGGGAGTAGCAGCGGCACAAGCAAGGTCCCCAGCGATCCTCCCAAGGCCGACACTCCCCTTGAATATGGCAGCGACGATGGAAAGGACAAGTTCCGGAAAAAATGGTTCAATCTCAACTTGAATCGCTCCGACAAGAAAGGTTGAACCTCCGGAAGTGGAAAACAGGGCTACACCTGTGGAACACTCTCACTCTCACTCTCACTCTCACTCTCACTCTCACTCTCACTCTCACTCTCACTCTCACTCTCACTCTCACTCTCACTCTCACTCTCACTCCCACTCTCACTCTCACTCTCACTCCCACTCTCACTTCATCATCCCTGGGACTCTTCTGATGGTGCCAGGAGCAAGGTGGTCCTTCCATGATATGATGCCTTTGTATCTCTCTTCTCATCCGTCCCTTTCCTCAGCCTCTTATGCATCCATGCACCCACCCCTTATTGCCTTTCTCTCTCTCTCTCTCTCTCTCTCTCTCTCTCTCTCACTCATTGCTTGGTACCCGAGAATAATGGACCTATTCTATTCACAGTGTTGAATTGCAGTGATTGATGTTTTCACGATCCGGGTACTCACAGGTAGCTAGCTGCCTCAGGAGGTTGCAGGCCTAAGAAGCTCCACAGATTCAGGATCATGTTCAGTAGAGTAGAAGATGGGCTCTACAGATTCTTTTCTGGTCTTCTAAGCCTGGCTTTGTCTTTGTTTCACTGGTAGAATAGAATTGAGGGCGGGCGCGCAGATGTTCCTGCTTTCTTGGGGTGTTTCGATGACCGGCCGGCTAGAACTGGAAGAGCCTCGGTTCGTGTGAGGTTGCCTCGGATAACCTGGTCGTCCAAGATCAATAAACTCTGATGGTCACATCGGACTAGCCATCGATTAGTGATTGGACCATTTGTTTTTGTATTTAATTGGATTTATTTGGTATGGGGAGACGTGGGAAGGAGAGAGAGAGAGAGAGAGAGAGAGAGTTAATTACAAGGGCACATTAGGAAAATAAAAAGAGTTAATTATAGTTCATAACACATATCATGTAATAAACTTGGGTAATCCCTTGGACATGCGCTTGAAACTAAGTTAAATGTAAATTCATAGGGAGTACGTGATAATGATGTAATGCATCCAAAAGATAATCGAACGAATTTAATGATCATATTTGAATTTCATTGTTTTGATGAATTTGCATGTCAAAATCAGTACTTTTTTTCGTACTATAAAAATTGGCAACATTACTAAAATGTCACTAAAGAAAGGTAATGATTTGGACATTGGATTTTGCGTACATGCCTGATGTAAAATATTAATATCTAAGTTCATTTAGTCTACTTGATATGCGTGATTTAAATGTATTAATTTCACTTATTATATATAGAGAATTACTTGATTGATGTATAGATGATACTTCATAACTTCCCAAGTATCATTCAAAATTAGTTGAAAAATATTTAGATATGAAATATTGTCTAAGTAATGATGTCAAATATTCATATGAAAATAAAAATAATTACATAATAGACATGTTTTATTTGACGCAGTTTGGACCTAATTAGGTTTCAGAATTAGTAGTATATTTTGATATGTATTTACGATTTTTTAACAATATTAGCTTCATGTCAGATATGCTAGAACTATTTTTCCCATTTAACTTTAAATGATATTTAAATCCGAATAGGAAAAGTCATATGGTTTCTAACTACAAGATTTTATAACTCTGTTGGGTTTCTAATTTTATTGTTTTTTTGCAAAGAATCACGCATGAATTATAGTCAAATTTGAAACGTTATACAAAGACAAAAAGATCGTGAACTGAGGAGAAAATTAGGATCTAAACAAGATGTTTAATGAACTGATCTCAACCACAGAGTTAATTGAAATTAAGTGAAATTTGATTTCTGGCCATTAAAGTGTTGGACAAGGTTCAAGTCTTCATCAAGTCCTCAAAATACTAAGGGCGATAGTTTATTTATTACATGATCCATAAAATTGTTATTAAGTTTTGTCTTAATAATTTACATAGCTAGCCCTATCGCACCTCTAGTCATTAATTGAGAAGAGAATTTCTATTACTATTCTAAGGGAACTAGGTCATTGTGATATTTCTAGAAGATTGAAAAAGTTTTGGATCATAGTGAAAAAGATCAAGAAGATTAGACTATTCACTTTGAGTCAAAATTAAGATAAGATTAATTTAATCCTTCTTTCTTGGTCTTTTATAGCCTTATATGATGTAGCAATAATGCAAAAAAATAAATAAGATATGGGCTTGAATTCACAAAGCTCTAATTTTAGAGAAGAAACTTGCCTCTAAATTCATAGATTCGAAGTCTTCAACCTTTGAATCCACAAAGGGTTGCCTAAATCCACAAGCAAGAAGGAAAGGTTCTCATAGTAGAGAAAAAGGACATAAAGTGGGCCCAAATTCGAACCTCTAGCCCACTGATGACATATGTGGGTTCCTTTTCTTACACTTTTCACTTTATGGCCCAAATTCAAGATAAGTGAGCCTAGATTCAAATTTGACACTTCAACTTGTGTCTTGGGCTACATCATTATATTAACCAGATATAATACTTAGGCAAATTACAGAAAGATAAGAGCAATGTCAATATTATATCTTATATGCCTTTAAACATAGTATTTATTTACTATTGATGAAACACCAGGTCATACTTTCTTTCATTTCTCATTAGTTTGTTTGTCCGCCTTTTTCATCATTGTTTTTGGTATGCAATAGTCATTATGACTTGACTTACAGATTTGGTAAAAGTGGATGATTGGATGCAATCCATTTACACTACATTGGAGGAGTGGGTAAACTGAAAAAAATCAGCAAGTTGCACTATAGAAATGACCCTCTTCTGCTAGCAAACGTTGTGTATTATGTATGAATAAAGAGATCTATCCTCATGCTAGAAAGCATTTGGAAGTCATGGAGTAACCCAGTCCTTGGTCACCTCCCTTTTAAAACATAGAAAAAGGTAAAAATCTATGGGCGAGACAGATTAGAGAATGAAGAGAGTAGCTTTGGCACTGATCACGAAAACAATTTCTTCCTTGTGTCCCTTGCTGGTCTTTCGTACAATATTAGAAGGAGACATTCTGCACCCCCCCTCGATGGATCTACTACGGAGCTTCCACATAATATTGATAATGTATCTCTCTTCATTCGTTATATATCTCTCTATCCCTTCCATTCTCTCTCGTTATCTCTTTTTACTTTTATATGGTGAATAATTCCTAGTTCTTGGGTTTTCATTGGCCTTTGTTTTCTATTTTGTAGAATGGCTTGCACATCATATATCGTTGTTTTGAATAACAACCTTCTAGTTTAGGAATCCCCATAAGGAAGGAAGTTTATATCTCCTGGTTTGCGACAAGTTCGTGTATTATCCTTTCAGAATGACAGTGGCACTGAACAGATTGGTTGTGAAGGAAAGATTAACATTCTCAGTCACCAAAGGAGTACCAGACGATCAGATCATCAACTATTGAAGTGTTATATAATAATTGATTTGTGATGAGCTGCTGACATGTCATCCTGTGATAAAGCATTATCTCACCAGATCCTGCTCAGAAGAAAGAAGAAAGACGAAGTCGTTACTTGGCTCATGGTAAGGAAACCACTTACATTGGAATGACTCAGTTCGAAAAGGTAATTCTATGTTAAGCTTTTCGTTCACACATAATTCCCTCACAACTACGTCGTGTGCCTTTTCTTAGGTACTTGTCTCGTTACATATACAAGTAAAAGCATGAATTCGTTATATTTCATTAAGCCCGAAAAACGAAACAATTTCCTTTGGTGAGCGCATAAAATTTTCTGGAGGCATAGAGGCGATTGGAAATAGATGGAATTTAATATACATAAGAGACTTTTCTTTGACCGATGATACACAGATGGCCAAATGCTTTTTCTTTTCATGTTTAGGATTCGGCTACCAAGAAATTATAAGAAGCCTGACAAATTAAAACTTGTAGAGAATATGGCTTGTCCAATGTTTCAATACGAAGCAGTTATGTTCCGTGGAATGCCATCAAGTAAATATTAAGGTGTTTATGGGGGTGGTTACAAGTGACACACGTTTTAACTTTGGAAAAAATAGTGATGATTGTCATGATTTTTCAGTTGAAATAACATAGAAGATCTTGATAAAAGGGGATTCTTACTCGATATATATTTTCAATTTGTGGATGTGTTGTTAGTTGGACAGAAGGGTTACAGTCTACTGTTGCATTGTGAACTGCCAAAGTGAGTTTATGGCAATTATATAGGCAATAAAGGGAGTTAAATTGTTAACTCCCTCGGAATCAGATATATTTTAAAAAGTGTTATTCATTGACAAAGAATCAGATATATTACAAAAGGAGAAAACATATTGATGTTGGTAAATTATTTCCAAAAGAAAATTGTTGTATGGAAGACTGGTAGAAATGACAATACAACAGGCATGTAGAAAAAGCTTCTATTTACAAAATTCAAATACTCTTTGAACTTAATCAGAGTTTTCACGCTTGAAGCTGTGCTCCGTGTTCTGGAGAAGGTGACAATTTTTCTCTTATTGTTTGCAACTATGAGGATCTTATGGAGCACTTGGTGTCAAGCCTAAAGGATGTCTATGTGAGCCAAACTAAAGCTGAAGGTTTTTTAGTTTGACTTATTCATTCTATCAGGATAAGTCTATCAGGACTTCTCATCTTTCTCTTATATTTTAATTTATGAATCGCTTTCAGGTACATAACCGCTCCTGCCCCTTTCTATAAAACAGTATAAAAAAGGGGTTGGGGGACTGGAGAGAGAAAAATTAAGACTCAAACTCTCTCTCTCTCCAGCGTTAGAGACTGGGGATTCACCATCTCCACCTATTTATGGCTTAGTTGTGAACTTACACTCCATAATTTTTCTGTATCCTGTTTTCTCATTTATAGTGGAACTTAGCCTCTCCTTTTTGGTGGATGTGAAAAGGTGTATGATCCTCTGTATTCCACGAGATTCAATTTATGTGCCCTTCTCGCTCCTTATTCTCGAATATTTAGTCCTTTTGTACGTACTGTGTATCTTCTGCTAATATATCAGTCCATCAGAAGCAGATGATGAAGGTGAAAGGAGGGCACGAGTTGGCATTTTTTCTCTCAGTTTTGTTACTGCTATC